GCAGTAAAAAGTGCACAATAGCCTAGAGCTTCATGGTTCTGAGACTGGTTTTTTTTTTTTTTAGGCTTCACTAAGGCCTGGATGCATTATTCTAAATACTGTCAACACCTGTCTCTAATTCCACTCTCACAGAAAGACTTCAAAACAATTACACAGAATCTCAGATAAATGGACACGAAGAAGGTTCTCAGTTGGCAAACCTAGGCATTTTGGCACCTAAGGGTTCATCCCTCACTACATATGAATGAAGCGCCATTTTGGTTTTTGCATCAGTTTGGTTTATATGGTCTAGTGCTGGAGAGCCTCATCATTTCCTGGCATACTGAAACACAAAGCCACGGGCTGGGGGAGAGGGGTGTCCAGTGACTCCTGGTCCAGGAGGCTACCTGTTTTTCACTCTCTAGATTCAGGAGAGTAAATACTTTTTATCTCACTTGCCAGCAGTTGGTAGTGGCTCCTAGCGGAGTGTCATAAAGCTTGTGAGGCTCAGGGAGAATGAGTGGCATGATTGATTAGTCGTGTCTGCAACAAATTAGGGGCAGGGAGGGGTGTATGTAGATGGGTGGAATAGGAGTATCTGCATTTGAAGCAATGCATTTCATCAATTCGAATGAGAACATCCTTCTGTCCATTCATGCATCTTTGAAATTAGGATGAATCTTATAATCACTGCACCAGATTGTCTTTTCTAAAACTAGCCACAGTATTTCAAAGTCTCACATGCTTTTTTTTTTTCTTGAGACAGGGTCTCACTCTGTCGCACAGGCTGGAGTCCAGTGGCATGATCTCAGCTCACTACACGCCTTCACCTCCCAGGTTCAAGCAATTCTCCCACCTCAGCCTCCCAAGTAACTGGGATTACAGGGGTGTATGACCACGCCCAGCTAATTTTTGTATTTTTAGTGGAGACGGGGTTTCACCATGTTGGCCAGATTGGTCTCAAACTTCTGACCTCAGGTGATCCACCTGCCCTGGCATTCCAAAGTGCTGGGATTCCAGGCATGAGCCACCACAACCAGCTCACATGCTTTTTTGGAACCTAGTCAAGACCCCATCAAAAAGTAGAATTTACTTCATCTCCACAAAAAATTTTAAAAATGTAGCTGGGCGTGGCAGCACACACCTGTAGTCCCAGCTACTCTGGTAGCTGAGGTGGGAGGATTCCTTAAGCCCAGGTCGAGGCTGCAGTGAGCTATGATGGCGCCACTGCACTCCAGCCTGGGCAGCATAGCAACAGAGTAAGACCTTGTCTCTCTCTCTCTCTCTTTCTGTCTCTCTCTCACACACACACACACACACAGAAAAAGGAAGTAGAATTTATGTCCTCTGCCCTTGAACTTGGGATAGGAGGTTGTGATTGCCTCAACTAATAGAGTGTGGCAAAGTGATGCTAAGTAAATTATGAAGCTAGGTCATTAATAAAACAAGATAGCTTCTGCCTGGTGTTTTCCTGGGATGCTCACCCTTGGAACCTGGCCACCATGCTCAGAAACCCTATGCCATGTGGTGAGCTCTGCCCCTGCTTCTCAGATCTGGTTGAGGTCCCAGCTAACAGCCAGCACCAACCTGCAAGTAGTATGAGTGAGTGCCATCTTGGAAGCAGGTCCACTAGCCTTTAGTAGAGCTGCCTGCCTCACGCTATCTGGAGCACAGATGAGGCTTCCTTGCTGAACCCTGTCCAAATCAGACTCCTAAGCAAAATAAATGATCGTTAGTATTATAAGATATGAAGGTCTGCAGTGGTTTGTTATACAGCAATAGACAACTGAAATAATCGTGGTCAGCCAGGCTGCAGTCTTGACAGTTGTCACTGCCTGCACGTATGTATACACAAAAACATGTTGAAGAAGCGTAAGTAAATTGAAAGAAATCCCCAAAGGCAATAGTGGAACATGTTTTAAAGAAATGCTACATACCAACATTTTTATGCACAAACGACAATATTATTATTATTATTATTCTTTTTTTTTTTTTTTTTGAGATGGAGTCTCGCTCTGTCGCCCAGGTTGGAGTGCAGTGGCCGAATCTTAGCTCACTGCAAGCTCCGCCTCCCGGGTTTACGCCATTCTCCTGCCTCAGCCTCCCGAGTAGCTGGGACTACAGGCGCCCGCCACCTCGCCTGGCTACTTTTTTGTATTTTTTAGTAGAGACGGGGTTTCACCGTGTTAGCCAGGATGGTCTCGATCTCCTGACCTCGTGATCCGCCCGTCTCAGCCTCCCAAAGTGCTGGGATTACAGGCTTGAGCCACTGCGCCCGGCAGAAACGACAATATTATAAGGAAAACCATGAACACTGATGGCTCTGAATTCAAAAAGTGATTTAGAAGAATTAAACTCTGAATATGAAGGAATCCGAGGAATAGCATACCAAATTTATTTTGTATAAATTTTCCTCTATTTTAATTTTTTTATTTCCATAAGTTTGGGGGAAACAAGTGGTATTTGGGTACATGAGTAAGTTATTTAGTGGTGATTTGTGAGATTTTGGTGCGCCCATCACCCGAGCAGTATACACTGAACCTGATTTGTAGTCTCTTATCCCTCATCCCCTTCCCATCTTTCCCCAAGTCCCCAAAGCCCATTGTGTCATTCTTATGCCTCTGCATCCTCATAGCTTAGCTCCCACTTAGGAGAAATGCAATGTTTGGTTTTCCATTCCTGAGTTACTTTACTTAGGATAATAGTCTCCTGTATATATTTTTCTTTTTAAGGATGCACACAAGTGATACATAATGGAAAAAAATCTATGTGTAAATAAAAAGAACACTCAATTAATATAAAGCAAACAGTAAGTGATAAAAAAAAAAACCATTTTATCATAGTTTCATCATATCAGCCTAGCATCAGTGGTATCAATGATATCTTAGATTTAATGAAATACAGGTGTTTATTGTTGACTCTATTATATTACCAAATACAAGTGTCCTAGGAGAGATTTCCACAAATTTTCCATTTTTTCTTTGCAAATTAAGAAAAAGCAGATATAAACTTTTTAAAAGTTCAATTTAATTTTTACTTTCATAATTATATCCCATTGTTCTATAAAACATTGGGGCTGGGTGCGGTGGCTCACACCTGTAATCCCAACACTTTGGGAGGCTAAGGTGGGCGGATCATGAGGTCAGGAGTTCAAGACCAGCCTGGCCAACATGGCGAAACCCCATCTCTACTAAATATACAAAAATTAGCAGGACATGGTGGCACATGCCTGTAATCCCAGCTACTCGGGAGACTGAGGCAGGAGAATTGCTTGAACCCAGGAGGCAGAGGTTGCAGTAAGCCAAGATCGTGACATTGCACTCCCGCCTGGGCGACAGAGCAAGACTCCGTCTCAAAAAAAAAAAAAAATGGAAACAACAACCAAAAAATGCTTAATTTTCTCAACTTAATATTCCAAACAAGTGACTCTCCATGATCACTTGAAATCACATACATTTTACATATTATGAATGTTTTAGTTGGCTCCGTTTTCTTGAATGGCATAGCATCAGTGGTATCGATGACATCTTAGATTTCATAAAATACAGGTATTTATTGTTGTTGACTCTATTACCAAATACAAGTGTTCTAAGAGAGACTTCTGCGAAGTTTCCTTTTTTTCACTGCAAACTTTTAAAAAACTTGCAGATATAAGCTTTTTTAAAGTTCAATTTAATTTTTATCTTCACAATTATATCCACAGCATTATTCTATAAAACACTGGGAAACTAAAAAAAAAAAAAACCTTAATTTTCTTAATATTTCAAATAAGTGACTCTCCATGATCCCCTGAAATCACATATATTTCACATATTATGAATGTTTTAGGTGGCTGAATTCTCTTCAGTGGAGGTGGGGGAGGGTAGGCTTAATGAAAGTGTGATAAAGTCAATAATTCCAAAGGCTTAAAGATAAGGTGAACATTAAAGAAACAAAGTGAATTAACTACTAATTAAGCATTTATAAAGCAAAATGATGTGACAATGTTAACTTTATTACTACTGTTAACAGAATCAAAGCTTCTGTAGATCTCAAAAACAAGTTTATTCATAAAATGCATTTTTAAAGTATGACCAAAAATAAGACTACAAAACCCCTACAATCTTGTACATTTCACCACCACTTACCACAGTCAATAACCAAAAGTCTCACCAATTCAATTCCTGTATTTTAAGTAAAAAAGAGCTTTATAAATCATAGCATTTTGTTTTATGAATTAAATTGCTGAAAATAGTTACCCAAATCTAGACCAACCGTGCCACTTTGAGAGAGAGAGAGATAAATATATATTTTTTTTAAGACAGAGTCTCACTCTGTCACCAGGGCTGGAGTGCAGTGGTGCGATCTCGGCTCACTGCAACCTCCACCTCCCGGAGTAGCTGGGATTACAGGCGCCCGCCACTACGCCCAGCTAATTTTTTGTATTTTTAGTAGAGATAGGGTTTCATCATGTTGGCCAGGCTGGTCTCGAATTACTGACCTCGTGATTCGCCCGCCTAAGCCTCCCAAAGTGCTGGAATTACAGGCGTGAGTTACCATGCCTGGCCCACCATTTTGATATTTTATACAATAATATTATGTCCAGAAACTTACTGACACTGAAATCTCTCAAAATGTATTTCTGAAGGTTAATTCCGTTTTTCCAAGGCAAACTCTTTTAAACCAAATGAAATGATTCCCACCACAACATTATAGACACTAAAACATAACACAAGCATAAAGATAAAATATGGTACTTCACGGACACAGAACAAATCTGAAATATGTTTAATTATAGACAACTATTGACTTAGAAATGGAAGGGAGAAGAAGAGCACTGGCCCTGGAGACAGTTTACTCCGTGCTTCTGATACCCACGCGCAGCAGCAAGCAAGTTGGCAAACACGCCCCAGGAGAGGCTGGAGGCTGGCCCAGGGGCTTGTGTCTGGGCGCTTTTGTCATCAGCCAAATCCAGCTTTGTTCAATGAGGGTCAGAGGATTCCAGAACCTATCTTAAATTCTGTGAGTCCAAAGTCTTGAAGTCAAATTTTATGGAGTTTCGTAACGATTAGTACTCTCACCGTTTGGTCAAATGAACTACAGACGCAAAGACCCCTTTTATCTGGACTCCAATCCAAACTCGAAATGGGCTGGGTGGACAACGTAACATTCTGCAGAAGGCTTACAGAACCTGCGACTCCCATTTCTATTCCCTCAGAATCTTTCTTTGACCGCTGAATAGGGTATTCACTGAAAACAAGATCAAAGTAAGAGCGCGTAAATCTTAGCTTTCACCATTTTATTTCTACACATACACTTCAATGACTCTATTTCTCAGTTGGTTACTGGGACTAATAAATACTTACAGAATCTTTCTAATACTGAGTTGTTTGCAAATAAAGAGACAATTTCAACCTCAATCCTATCCCCAAAACATGTCATAAAAAGGGTTATTAGTTCTACTAAAAACTTCTAAAAGTCATTTCTGTTCAACATGTATCTATGTTTTCTCTTTTAATATGAAAGTTCTAGGTTGATCTAGGATTCTTTAATACATTTACTTGGTGCTTTTGATAACCTTTGATTTATTGCAATTTTCCTCCAGATTTAGATTGCTGGATATCACAGGCAAACAATGTGCAAAGGCAATGGCTTGAGTAACATTTGCAGAACTTCATCTAAACACTTCCAGAATGAAAAACATGCCAGCTTCTAACCCTCAAGCTCCATTACACAGACCCAAGCCTAAGGACCTTTTGTATACCACTTCTATGGGAAGGCGTCACAGAGTGGAGATGTTAGACCTAAATGTCATTGTTTCCAACAAGAAAAAAGTGGTTCTGAGAACATATGATTTTTTTCAGCTGAAAATATAAATTGATATGGTAAGAGAAGCCGAAGGTTAAAGTCATAAATCCCATCTGGTCTAGATTGGAAAAGGGGAAAGAAAACACTCCTCCCCAGTGGAGATGTGCTCCTGATAAAATACAGAAGCATCACTCCTCAGACGGCCTTTTAAAACCTACTAGTATCAATTATGACAGCATCTTTATTTCATAAATGCTGGCAAAGGCCAAGAACGTAAGAAGCACAAAGCCAATCAGAAGCAAAATGGAAATGGAAGAAGAATCTACAGGTAGATGATCTACTATTTTCTCTTCCTCTCAAACCCTACAAATCATTTTGATGAAAAGAAATAAAACATTCAGATAAACAAATGGTTTAAATACAGACGTCTTTCACGTATCTCTTGGCAAAGGCTGCAGTTATTTAGTATTCAAAAGATAACATAAAGATTTTTAAAAACCTTCCATATTACCTGTTGAAGTTTTAAAAGAATATGTGTATGTGATTCAAATAATACTCAAAAAAAAAAAAAAAACCAGCATGTTGAAGTTATTCAAAAAACAAGTCATGAATAACTAGATGATTTCTTCTAGGAGCTGTTGGTTCAGCGGCCAATAAATATTTACAATTTAATTGCATTACTACCAAGACAGACTGGCAAATGAAAATAAAGCTAAATATCATTGTACTTAAACCAATTCCCTTTGCTGGTACAATACTTGACAGTAAAATTCCAAACCGATTTGAAGATTAGACTGCACATCTGTTCTGGTTAAGTGTAAAGTTTACATTGCACTAAACTTCAAATTTGCATACAGACCTAACTTTACCGACAGAACGAAATCCACTGTAGTAAAAACTTCCAGCTGCAAAAGTGTTTGTGTGTCTTATGGAATACAAATCCACGTGTGGATTACAAAGAAAACTGGAACTATTTCTTCAAGTAAGCAGCCTAAAGATTTGGTCACCAAGTAAAATAGTGACGTGCGACCACATGGCTTCACTAAGGGGACTGGCAGAGCCTAACGTGGGGAGGAGACCGGGGTGGAAGAATCAGGGAAGAACAACGGGCAAAGGTGCTAGAAGAAGGGAAAGTAGCAAGTGATCGGTCTACCCCACATTCTCCCAGAACGCCTCAAACTTTTCCTCTGCTTTTCACTCACAGAAACCATACTGTTTGTGTGGTTTTTGAGACAGAAAAAGTCTCTGTTGCTCTGTCTTACTCTGTCTCCCAGGCTGGAGTGCAGTGGTGTGATCTCGACTCACTGAGCCCTCCACCTCCCAGATTCAGGCAACTCTCGTGCCTCAGCCTCCCGAGTAGCTGGGATTACAGACGTGTGCCACCACGCCCAGCTAATTGTTGTATTTTTCGTAGAGACAGAGTTTTGCCATAACCATACTGTTTTGATCTAAAGCGTTCACCCTGGCCAGGCGCGGTGGCTCATGCCTGTAATCCCAGTACTTTGGGAGGCCGAGGCGGGTGGATCACCTGAGGTCAGGAGTTCGGGACCAGCCTGGCCAACATGGTGAAACCCGTCTCTACTAAAAATATAAAAATTAGCTGGGCATGGTAGTGGGCACCTGTAATCCCAGCTAATCGGGAGACTGAGGCAGGAGAAGCCCTTGAACCTGGAGGTGGAGGCTGCGGTGAGATGAGATCATGCCACTGCACTCCAGCCTGGGCAACAGAGCAAGACTCTGTCAGAAAATATAAAATAAAGCATTCACTCTGGTTTTTTGTCAGCGGTATCCCTGCACACAGTACTTTAACAAGTACTTTCCAACTGTAGCCCTGTTTTTCAGAACCCCTTCCAGCTTCTCAAAGGAGCTAATAGAGAAGAATTTTATAAATGTGAAAGTCCCAGATATATTGAGGATGGTGTTTTTCTTCTTACATTATTAATGAAACTTTATTTTTGAAAGATCCTTCATTTATAGGCTTGCTATTTTTTCCGAGTGATGTTTAAGAAAGATATAATTTTTCCCCTCCAAGTACATATTGCTTAGCTAATAAAGTATTCAGAAATACCATTAACTCACAATTTTTATCAGATCTTTAATTTTTGTTTTGTTTTGCTTTTTCTCCTTTTCACAGGCCAACCCTGAGCAAGTATATCAGACCTTTTAAATGATCTAGTATCTACGATGTTAGCGCCCTTGGGATTCAGAGAGTAGCATGCACAGTAAAGCATTCACCGTAACTCACCCAGCCTAGATATGCAGAAAGCAAACTCAGTGATAACGTCTTTCCTGAAGACCAGTCAGGAGCCTCAGGCTCTGTTGGGGTCTATCACAATGATGTTATCCAAATTTAGGCAAGGAACCCTTTCCCCATCTTTTAGAGGCAGTGAGTGTTCTAATCACTTCAAGATAATATCTGATAAAAGTCTTGGGCCAACTTTTACATACTTAGAAGACACAACTAAAATTATAAATAGACTTAATGTATCAAAAGAAGATTAGTGTACACTTTACTAAATGTAAAGTGTATTCATACAAAATGCTTAGAAAACAAGTTATGTAATACCATGAAATTTTAAATCATATCAAAATGAACTAAGTCAAAGCAGGGAAAAAAAAAAGACAAAAAAGTTCAATCTAATCCTACTTTACACCCACAGGTAACTTTAAAAGGAGCAGTGTGCACTGGCAGACTTACTACTTCCAGAGGTGAAGGCCGCCGGCGCCTCCAGCTGTCAGAAACAGCTCCCTGTTCTGCGGCAGGTGTCGGACCTGCCACACAGTAGATTTATGAGCCTAAACAGAACAAGAGGCACACAACTGGTTTATATGCTAAATGGTGCCCTGGAAGAGAAACTCTGCAAATAAAGAACTTTTACTACTATAATTTCAACGGTTATAAAAGTAATTAAGGTTATTTTCTGGCACGCTTCTTTATAATGGCTACAGAGATTTATAGGAGCACATAAGAAATTAGAAAAAGCATCATTTTTCTTTATTGCTTTATGAAACAAAGTTCTACTGCATTTTTAAAAAGACAGGTATTAAATTTAAAGTCCATTTAAGTTTACAGTACCAAATACATTATGAATAGATTTTACATATGTAAATACCTCTAGTTCATTCTGAGGGGGAAAACACTCAAAATGCAAAAATATATACTTTTGTTTATATATACAAAAAATGTGGACTGAATTTTTAAAAATGCACTTTAGTTCTGAGAACAGTTTGAAGTTCACAGCAAAAGTCAGCAATAAGTATAGAGTTCTTCTAGACTGAATTTTAACTAAAATTTACAGACTGAATTTTAACTAACAGCTCCCAGAGTCTTATTTTCAATGTATTGCCATTGACCTGTCCAGTCTTCAAAATACGGACCATGAGGACTTATAGACAATGTTTATGGTCATAATAAACTAAGGTCTTTATCATTCACATTAGACTAAAGACTAAAAACCAGCAGCTGGAAGGTTAACAGTTTGTTAGCACCTCAATAGCAACCCCTAAATCCATCCTGGCAATACTGCATTAACTGGGGGGAATTTAGGAGACAGAGAGAAACAGAGGGAGGGAGAGAAAGGAGGTGAGAGGGAATGAATGACTGCTGCTTTGTAGAAGCAGCGGGGCTGGCTATTGTGGAACACCACATTTTAGTGAGTGATTAGTCTTGACCTTTGATTTCAATAGTCTTTTGAAAGAATTACCACTAGCTGATAAAGACTCATATCTCAAAACACATATTTTAAGTGTGTAACGGTCTCCCAGTGATTAGGTTCAAGCTGTTGAGACATTTTATTTTGTAGCTTAAACTTCTCTTCTTCTTCAGGAAGTTGAGAAAAACACAAAAAGCAAGAGGGGAAATGACCTCTTAAAATATACCAGAGTCATCTATTTGGCAGATTTAGCAATTACTGGGTTAACTAAATATAAGTTTAAAAAACTGGGCCAGGTATAGTGGCTCACGCCTATAATCCCAGCACTTTGGGAGGCTCAGGTGGATCACTTGAGGTCAGGTTTCAAGTCCAGACTGGGCAACACAGCAAGACTCTGTCTCTATGAAAAAAAAAAAATTTCTAATTAGCCAGATGCGGTGGCGTGTGCCTATACTCCCAGCAACTTGGGAGGCTGAGGCAGGAGGATCACTTGAGCCCAGGACTGCAGTGAGCCATAATCATGCCACTGCACACCAGCCTGGGTAAGAGGGCAAGATTCTGTCTCCAAAAAGAAAAAAAAAAAAAAAGCCAAACAAACAAAATAAAAAATTGGAGATGACACTATTATTTATAGATAATGATATATGTGTTGCAAATTATACATGTAACAGTTTAGTAAAGTGATCTATGTTGTTGATAGATATTTAATATATTCTGAAATGACAAAAGCAAACCAATACTTTATAATTATCTTGTTAAGAATTTCGTTTTCATAGGGCAGTGACAATAATTTACACACAATAATAATAATGAGACAAAATAGGAAGGTTCAAGAAATCCTAACTGAATCCACAGGAGAGAGAGAAGCAAGGGAGTAAATTCTTACTTCATGAGCAACTTGCATATTTTAATCTTACGGAAACAAGGAATCCGTAATTGATATTTCTTTCTTTTTATACTTTAGGAAGCTCAAATCACATTTCCAATCCATTTCTTGTGAATGACAGGACCTTTTTGCATGAATTTTCTGTAATGCCCCCAGTCCAGAAACTATCTTTTTTTTAAACCAGTATTTTCCTTTTGCCCTGCTTTCCTCATCTATTGGTCTAATGCTGTAATACCATATTTCCCTCTCAGCTACCTCAAATGCAAGGCAAAGTTAAGTAAATAAAATATTTTTGAACATCTACTATAATCACAGTACTCAGTGCTTTCAATAATTTCATTTAATATAGCAAACTGGAATATAAAATAAAATGTAATGACATCATGTACATATAGTTATATTTTGAAAAATATATAACCAGGTATTAGCACAAGTATTATATATTTATTAGGAAACACGAGGATGGGTTTTGTTGATCAAATTCCTATTATCAGCTAGGTTTCTTCTAATTGCCCCTAAACTACAAAATAAGATTCCTACCTAACTGAGATCTTTATTATAATCAAGAAGTCTAAAGTTGATAAACTTTGGGGAAGTACTCTTTGCACAGAAAAACTTGTCAAGATCTCACAGGAATATATCAAAAATAGCTCCCCTCACATAAAGACCTGGAAGAAACCTTGGTGACTAATTCTACTTATCAGTCTAAGCCAAGCTATCATTCTTCTTCATATAAAGACATTTCCCTCATATTTACCTTTTCTGAAACAGAGGCAAAACCTTTGGTTGGATGCTGTGTTCTCATGTCAAAAACATGGAACTTTCCTTCCAGAGATGTGGCTACTAACTTATTCATACTTATGTCTTTTCTGTCAAACTCCAAGCTACATACCTGAAAACAGAGAATATTTATTATTGGTAGTCTCACCAGTATTAACTCAGGAGGCTCTTTTAAACTAAGTAAAACAGCTTTAAAATGGTCAGATAATGTGAAAGCACTCCAACAATCATTTTCTCTTTTAACTTTTACCATAAAAATTTTTTTCCAGCCGGGCGTGGTGGCTCATGCCTGTAATCCTAACATGTTGGGAAGCCAAGGCAGGTGGATCATGAGGTCAGGAGATCAAGACCAGCCTGGCCAACATGGTGAAACCCTGTCTCTACTAAAAATACAAAAATTAGCTGGGCATGGTGGCGTGTGCCTGTAGTCCCAGCTACTTGGGAGGCTGAGGCAGGAGAATCGCTTGAACCTGGGAGGCGGAGGTTACAGTGAGCTGAGATCACGCCCTTGCCCTCTAGCCTGGGTGACAGAGTAAGACTCCATCTCAAAAAAAAATTCTTTTTTTTTGGCCAGGCATGGTGGCTCACACCTGTAATCCCAGCACTTTGGGAGGCTGAGGAGGGAGGATCACGAGGTCAGGAGATTGAGACCATCCTGGCTAACACGATGAAACCCCATTTCTACTAAAAAATATGAAAAATTAGCCGGGCGTGGTGACAGGCACCTGTAGTCTCAGCTACTTGGGAGGCTGAGGCAGGAGAATGGCGTGAACCTGGGAGGCAGAGCTTGCAGTGAGCCAAGATTGTGCCACTGCACTCTAGCCTAGGCAACAGAGCAAGACTCTATCTCAAAAAAAAAAGAAAAAACCATTTTTTTTTCCATTAGTAAGATCAACAAAACTATCTTGGGTTCCCATGCTCAGTGAATGCCTTTGGGGAATCATTATTTAACTTTTTATGTTATTTAACAGTTAAGTAAAGGCTGACAGTAGAAAACAGGAGGAAACCACATTCTTTGCTAAAGGTGTACAACTGAGGAACCAAAAATCTGAGCTGGGGAGGTGACTACTGTTTCAGGCTTTCTGTATTGGCATAAAAAGGCCTTTTACTTGCTTATTTTGAAATCTTACTACATGGCCCACAGGGGTCTGCAGACAGGCTGAAGGGGCTGGTGACTCCCCCAACATTGTACATACCACATGTGGGTGTGAGCTCATTTTCTGAAGAGAGGATTCAGGATTTTCATTAGATTCTCAAACGAGTTTGGTCCCAAAAAGTTAAGAACCATTGGCAGAGGGGTTGACTGAGATGAGTTACTAGAGGTGTCTTCCTTTTGTAGTAATTCAGAGGTGAATGGAAACATGCGCAGAGAAACCAAAAAGCATCAGAATGTACTTTACCCCATTTTTGATGTTTGTCTCCCACCGTAATGCCATATTTCTGAGATCAAATAGTTTGATATCCCCATTGTCATAACCAGCACAAACAACACGTTCTTCTTGATTATAAGCATTGCCTGGAAATCAAAATACAACATTTCACATCCTTATAAATGCATTCATATAAAGGTTGCTTAAAAAAATCTTATGAAACTATACATATAGCTTATACTAAATCAGATTTTAAAAATCACACTGGATAGAATCCCACCTTATCAATCCTGACAGGACATCAAGATTATTAATGTGGTTTCCAATAGTTTTTTGGTTTGTTTAAATCTCTCATAAGAGTTTGGATATTTGTCCCCCCAAATCATGCTGATGTAAGATCCTCAATGTCAGAGGTGGGGCCTGATGGGAGGTGCTGGGTCATGGGGCTGGATCCCTTGTGAATGGCTCAGTGCAGTCTTTGTGGTAATGAGTTTTCACTCTTCTAATTCATGAGAGGTCTGGTTGTTCAAGAGTCTGGCGCCTCCCTCCTCCCCTCTCTCTTGCTCCCTCTCTCGCCATGTGACACGCCTGCTCCCCTTTTGCCTTCTGCCATGAGCAGACACTTCCGAGGTCTCACCAGAAGCAGATACTGGCACCATGCTTCTTGTATACTCTTGCAGAACCATGAGCTAAATAAACCTCTTTTCTTTATAAACTACCCAGTCTCAGGTATTCCTTTATAGAAATAAAGGAATTCAATGCAAAACGGACTAATATAAGCTCATTCACTGTAATTCCACACTGAAAGGATATGTGAAAGCGTTTATTGAATTCAATTTAAAGAAAATGTTTTATAGGAGATGGAGACCATCCTGGCTAACACAGTGAAACCCCATCTCTACTTAAAATAAAAAAAAGTTAGCTGGGTGTGATAGCGGGCACCTGTAGTCCCAGCTGCTCGGGATGCTGAGGCAGGAGAATGGCGTGAACCCGGGAGGCGGAGCTTGCAGTGAGCCGAGATCGCGCCACTGCACTCCAGCCTGGGCGACAGAGCCAGACTCCGTCTCAAAAAAAAAAAAAAAAAAAAATGCTTTATAGTATATCTGCAAAGGCTAGCAGGCCAACTATAACTCAAACACAAAGGGGTCTCGGAGAATAAACACAGTTATACTTCTGTTGCTTTCTTGGCAGTAACTATATTTGAACGCAAACAGAAATTTTAAAACTAATTTATCTTGAAAAATGCTGTTCTGGTGTGATCCCATCTTTCCAAGGAAATCTGAAAATAAGCTGTAGCACACTGTAACATATTTTTAGTAGTGTGGATGATCATACCTGAAGTAAGTTTATAATCCGTAGTTAAACTCATCCTCCTGGAATTCAAGGATTTTTTTCCAAGTACCTCTTGCTGAGGAAAGAGTGTTAAGTGAGAAGGAGGCCCCTGTCACTGTGCTAGGCTATCTGGGCATCCTGTCCCCAAGCTTTCGTTCTCTACTGCCTCTAACTTCGTTTTTCTCATAAACTCCAGCCCTGCGTTTCCACTGTGGGCCCCACCTAGATGGTACGCCATCATCTTAAACTCATGATGTCCCAAAATGACCTTACCATTTTCCTTTACAAATTATCCCACCCCTTGTATAATAACATCATTCACCCCACAATCAGCCTGAAAACTCAGTCATCTTGGACATAATCCTTTTCTTTGTTCTTCATATCCAAAAAAATTCCCCAATTCTATGTATTCTGCATAATATTATCTTCTGAATCATCCACTCTGCTCCCTTCTCAGTGCTTGTAACTTAGGTCTTCCCTGGAATACTGCCAAGAGCTCTTGAACTCATATTCTCTGTGCCACCCATCACTCCCGCTAAATACCATTAGTTCATTGTCCTAAAGCTCGGATTTCATCTCCTCCTTGCAAAAACCGTCAAAAACTTAGAACGATCTTCAGGCCATCCTAACACCTCTGGCCATTGTCCTGAGCCATCTCTAAGGATATTCCTACTATTATTCTCTTCTACCATCAGCCCGCCCTATCCACGGGTTCTGCATCTATAGGCAACCAACCATGGATCGAAAATATTTGGAAAAAAATTCGCATCTACACTAAAAATGTACAGACTTCTTGTGCTTGTCATTATTCCCTAAACAATACAACAATGACTGACGCAACATTTACATCATATTAGGTATTATAAGTAATCCAGAGGTGATTTACAGTATACGGGAGGATGTGTTAAACCATTCATGAGAACTCTGCCCCCATTAATCTCCTCCCACGAGGCCCCACCTCCAACACTGGGGATTACAATTCGACATGAGATTTGGTGGGGATATAGATCCAAACCATATCAAAGGGCAAATGTCAATTAGTCTTACAAAATCAATATTCATTTTAAGTAAATTAATAAAGGAACACAGTTATCAAAATTTATAAGAAATAACTTTGCAATGGCAAACTATTTTCTGGAAAATAAACATACTCTGTACACAGTGTAATGTATGATTTGTTAGGTTACTGTTTGCATCTGAGGCTTGGTTTATCCCCTTTAATGGTGTCTGATTTTAAATTAGGTCACTATTATCTAATTAAACAGAAACACATAATAATAAGCACAATTCTCAGCACTTTACATGTAATTAACTCATTGAATCTTCATGATGACACAACTAAGTAAATTCTATTATTAATTCCATTTTATAAATGAAACAACCAAGGAACAGATAACTTTGGTAACTTGCTCCAGGCCCCACAGCCAATATACTTATTGCAGGTGAGAATTCAAATCCAGGATCCAGAGGCTGACATTAACCACCATGTATATTTGCCTCAGTAAATAATCCACAAAACAGACTATAAAGAGACTAGTGTGAAATTTCTTGCAGGATCGTGCTTTTTACCATCTGATAATTCAAATGCAAGAATTCTTCAATAATTTACCAAATGCCACAGTCCAACAGTCTCTCTTGTTTTCTCCTTGTACAGGTTCCATATTAGCAACAGGATCATCTTTTTGCCTTGGGTCCCATACCTTCACAGTTCCTGCCATGCATAAAAGTAAGTTGGCAAAAATTCAAAAGTGAATGATCATGTTTCTTTTCTACATTGTTCTATGGCTTTCTATGTACATGGCAATATGACAGATGTTATGACATCTGAAAATATCCACATTGTTCTGACTTCTAATTGGGTAAGTTTTATTTAATATCAGAGATATCACCCATATGTGACTATCTGGCTTGGTTTCCAAATTAATAGACACACAGAAAAGCCAACAAGTGTTCCTAAGTTATCTACAAGTGATGATTGACAAGGCAAATGTGAATGTTACGTAATTCAAATCATGAGCCTAAAACAAATGTGTTATTTATTAGAGAAAATACCAGTGTTGTTTTCATTTTTACTTTTTTCCTTACTACCCATTTAACCATCGGCATGAATACACTCTAATTTTGAATTAATGGTTTCTTATGTTGTGAGTTCTAGAATACTATTTCTTTTCTTTTTTTTGAGATGGAGTCTCACTCTGTCACCCAGGAGTGCAACGGCATGATCTTGGCTCACTGCAACCTCCGCCTCCCAGGTGTAAGCGATTCTCTATCCTCAGTCTCCCGAGTAGCTGGGACTACAGGCGCCCACCACCATGCCCAGCTAAATTTTGTATTTTTTTAGTAGAGATGGGGTTTTGCCATGTTGGCCAGGCTGGTCTCAAACTCCTGACCTCAGGTGATCCACCTGCCTCGGCCTCCCAAAGTGCTGAGATTACAGGCATGAGCCACTGTGCCTGGTCTAGAATACTATTTCATATACAATTAAGTTTAATTTTCCTGTGGCAATAGTGAAGAGGAAAATGTTAAATAAAACAAATTCTCAATTTAATTTCAACCCCCTCGTTTTAATTCATGTTATGGGACTACTTACTAAAATAGTGTTACTACCTACAAGAAATGCAAATGCATGTAATAAAATGGCTAAAAGGCAAGTACCTGAGAAAGAATAAGAAAAGGGCAAAAAAAAAAAAAAAAAAATCCTTAAAAGGAAAATAACTCAGGAAAGGTGGAGGTACAACATTAGATTTACCTCCAGGGATAAAATAAAGATCATTAAGAGGCTGCTTGACTTTAATATTTATTTATTTAGAGACAGGGTCTTGCTCTGTCACCCAGGATAGAGTGCAGTCATGCGATCATGGTTCACTGCAGCCTCGACCTCCTGGGTCCAAGTGATCCTCCTACCTCAGCCTCCCAAGTAGCTGGGACTATACCACCATGCCTGGCTAATTTTTAAAGTTTTTGTAAAGATGGCATCTCCCTATGTTGCCCAAGCTGGTTTCGAGTGATCTTCCCACCTCAGCCTCCCAAGTGCTGGGATTACAGAGATGAGCCACTGCACCCAGCAAAAGCCTGTTTTAAAAAAAAAAAAAAAAAAAAAAAAACCCATATATAGAGATAAGAGATTATCTTTCTCTACCGGATTTATACACATTGATAAGATTTATAGTAAGTTTGCAAAAGATAAATGAGCAAAGAACACAGAGTATTCATAAAACAAAATTAATTAGTAAATATAGAAAAAAACACAAATTGGAAAGGAATACCATTTTGTCTACAAAATAAGATAGAAAAAAAGAAAATCAACGCTAACAGGGTAGACTTGAAATCTACCTCATCTACTGTAGCTGACTATAAATAAGTACTTTGGAACGCTTGTCAGTAAATTTTAAACTTTTTTTTTTTTTTTTTTGAGACGGAGTCCCACTCTGTTGCCCAGGCTAGAGTGCAGTGGTGCGATCTCAGCTCACTTCAACCTCCCACTGCCAGGTTCAAGCAAAACTTGTGCCTCAGCCTCCTGAGTAGCTGGGATTACAGATGTGTGCCACCACACTGGCTAATTTTTGTATTTCAGTAGAGACAGGGTTTCGCTACATTGCCCACACTGGTCTCAAACTCCTGGTCTCAAGTTATCCGTCCGCTTCGGCCTCCCAAAGTTGTGGGATTATAGGCATGAATGACTGTACCTGGCCCAATACATTTTTTTAAAAATCATCAAATAAAATATGTTTATTCCAAAAGAGTTACTACATATGACAATACTCATTTACTCATTATTTTTAAGCCACTCTCATAAGACAACAAAAAAAGCAAACTGAACGCTTATAGGGGAATGGTTAAGTATGGCCATATGATGGAATATTATATAGTCATTAAAATGATAACTGTGGAAACAGCAATATGTGCATATGACAAAACATTAAATGAAAAAAGTTTCTAATTCATATTCACACTTATAACTATGCAAAATTATATATAAGACCTAAAAGAAAAAGAAAAATCTAATGGTTGTGGTAGTGTGGTAGACTGAATATTATTTTTTCCCTCTATACTCAATATTGCTTTTATGAGTAAAAAAAAATAAGTGATTTCTAAAACACAGCTGCTCTTGAGTACCTATTAGAAAATTATATCTCACTTTTCTTTTAAAGCAATTTCCTCATGGTCTTGAGCAGTCATTAAACAACTAGGCAAATCAATTATAATAGGTACCAAATTTGTCGTGTACCCCTCGTGAAGCAAAAACATTTCTGACTCTATTAAAGTCATGCAGTACCACTTTGGACACCAAAAGACCTGGCCCTTCCTTGTTGGTCACTGCAGGGTGGAAGAGCTGAGCTGGTGCCTTTGGAACTCTCCAGTGGATGGATCACAGAACTTCAGTTTTCAACCAGCTGTCAATATGACAATTTTCACAAGTACTAACTCTGCCTTTTAAAAAAAGAAAATGAAAAGCTGCCACCCACATTATATCGTCAGCTGCCTCAAAAGCCTGTAAAGACATTTTAAATCCTTCAGGGTTCAGAGGAAACCATCACTGTTAGTAGCTGAACCGGCTCAACACTAAAATAGTGGTAAGAAGTGCTATGAATCTATCTCCAAATACCCAAAAGTCTGAAACAATCGAGAGAGAAGCAATCAAACTTGCCTGTTAAAAAAGTAGCAGCAAGACTGTTAGATTTAGGGAGTCAAGGTAACTGAAGGGGATTTTTACTCAGAGAGGACGTGCTGCTGCATAGAGATTTCCATTAAAATAAATAAACAAAATACATAGAATACATGGACTCACCATCTCGGCTGCCGGTCACAATTTCAGGTGCTCCTTCTCCAATTCCTAGTCCACCTACGCCATCTATGGCATTTATAATTTCTTTATGGCCCTTTACAGAATATATTGGCATCTCTGGAGCTTCTAAATTCCTAAACAACAAACACAGCTTTTTACACCACATGTCCCAAACATTTAAGTCTGCTACTGAAATTCAAAAATACATACTACAGTTAGATTTTTTTTTGTATAGAAATTAAGGTTTTGCTATGAAGATAGTGTATACATTTATTTACACTTCTGAAATTTTCTCTCCATTTAGCTTCTTTCAAGTCCCCAATGAGAACTGTCATCATTCAACTTGAAATTCCAATCCTGAGCTCACTATACGTAGTGTTCAAAGACGATCTCTCCAAGACGCCCACAGATGAATTACCAGGTATGCTTGTTGATAAACATGGATTCAAGGGCTTCTCCTCAAACATAAGGAATCAGGATCTCAGATGGGTCCCCAAAACAATGACTGTGGTGCACTGAAGTCTGAAAAAATACTGCTTCAAATATACAGTAAAGCTCAGGGAGGTCAAGGCTGCAGTGAGCTGAGATCACGCCACTGCCCTCCTGCCTGGGTGACAGAGCAAGACCCTGTTTCAGGAAAAAAAAAAAAAAAAAGAAAAACAAAAGAAAAGAAAAAACCACCATGTATCTGAGGACCTGGCTCTCAGGACAATTTTTTTCAATTCTGGGTTTTAGTGGCTGTTACAAAAATACGGGAAGTGAACAGAAGATGGACACCATTAGCTGGCCTTACTAAATCATCATACTCATTAGAATTCTTCCAAAGTAGGCCTCAGTAGTTGGATCTTATGACCTTTTTAAAGGATAAAATATGAGTAGTGTTTACTTTGTACACATTTCTTCCTTTATAAGGTACTATTTTCCCACTGAAGTCCACACTGATTTTCATCTATTGACATATTTTTCAGTGTGTCATCGTACAACAATATGTATTACTGAAAGACAGGCTGAAGTTCGTCTAACAGGTCAATTCACAGAAAGGCATTCAGGAAAGTATTGATTACCACAGTTGCACTACTGGGCAATGAATGGCTTGACTAGGTGATCCTCACACATTCCTTTTCTTGCCCATCTCCATTTCTCCCCTTCTTTTGCTTTTCTACTGGAACTTCTATTTATATTTCTCTTAATAATTTAGTTTTCAATAACTTATGGATATTTAAAATGAATGTGGCTATTCATGAAATATAATCCCAATTTATTATTGGGCCAAGATTTATTAGTAAAACCTTACTAATAAAAAATTTGTGGCCAGGTGCAGTGGTTCATGCCTATAATCCCAGGACTTTGGGAGGCCAAGGTGAGTAGATCACCTGAGGTCAGGAGTTTGAGACCAGCCTGGCCAACATGGCAAAACCCTGTCTCTACTAAAAATGCAAAAAATTGTCAGGCGTGGTGGTGGGCACCTGTAATCCTAGCTACTCGGGAGGCTGAGGCAGGAGAATCACTTGAACCCGGGAGGTGGACGTTGCAGTAAGCTGAGATCGCATCACTATGCTCCAGCCTAGGCAACAGAGCGAGACTACATCTCAAAAACAAGAAAAATTTTTTGAGATATTTCAACCTAGTTTAGAAATTACATTTACCATCATTATGAACTAATCAAGAGATTAAACAGGATTGTGGTTCTGCTTGAAATGACTGTTTTACTATTTTATAGACTTTAAAACATTATTTTTTAACATGAAATTATACGATTTATCATGAAAGTAAGTTGGTAATATCTGTACTATACTAGGAAACTATATTAGAAAGATGGTCAATGGTACTATTTAATATTTTGAATACTCTTGTGTTGAAATATATTTATTTTTTAAAATAGCATTCAAACTTGCCCCTCTCCCAGTATCTCTCAAAGCATATGACAAAGCATCTAAGAACTAACGAATACATGCTAATTTAATTATTAAGGAGTTAAAGCAAGGAGAAATTAAAATAGTTTCATTTTGTTTAATGTTATGATTCTAAGAGATAAATATGTTAAAGTAATGTAACTATAAAGTAGCAGGTTCTAAGTGAGACTCAAGAAAGTCATGTTAGAAAACATGATGCAAGAAAGATAGTTTTTCTAGAACACTCTAGAACTTTCTCCATAATATTTTAGAACACTGCTGTATATTATAAATGATTACAATAATAGATTTTCCTGCAAAGTAATTAAAAAGGAATTTCAATTCATTCCACTCTAAATAAGAAACAACTCTAGGTAAAATATGAAAAAGGCATTTGGCAGAATTGTGATTTTGCCCATTCAAAACAAGTTTATTTTGATTTGTTCAACAGATATGCTTCTAAAAAGTTGTGCTTAGATGTTAAAGCTTGAAAAAACAAACATTCTGCAGTGCTAAATCTATTGCTGAAATATAAATAATTAATACCTACTTTTTCAATGTTATTCATGTGCATTTTTATATACTATATTTTTAAAGTTGGAGGGGGAATAGACCTTTATTTACAAATACATGGCATTAAATGCTAGCACCAAACAGTGTGTGTGAAAATAAGCATTGATAATATTATCCAAAATATCTAAAGAAAAATAGATTAGTATTTTTAAATGGATTTTGAATATGAAATCTAGAAATATGTATTAAGAGAAAATTCTCATATTTTTATAGTTAAAATGGAACATATAAAGAAAGATTTTAAAATTAAAATTCTGTCTTTCAGAGAAAGAGTAATGAAACTATCAAATAAATTGCCTGTCTCATCTGTCTGAATACTGACTAAATCATCTTACCATATATGAAGGTTTCCACCAAAATCTCCAGTAGCTAAATATCTCTGCTGTAAAGATGTTGCACCAAATGTTCCACATTTAATAGGTTTGGCCTTTTCAATCTTGATAGAAAGGAGGAAGACAGGATATATTATTTATGTAAGCAGATATTTATAATCTATTAATATCATATTTACGGCTCTATTATGGCATTTAAATAAGACAATATAAAAGGCAATTAAAACATTTTCTGATGAAAATAATCATACACTTTTTCCTTTAGTCATTTTTCTTTAAAGTATGTAACTGTCAAAAAGAAAAAGTGTTAATTTGCCTTTCCTCTCCTCTCACTAATGAGACATTCAAATGCTGACAGCTCTACAATCTCTATTGCAGATATGAAAGTTTCAGCATTTCATGTGATATTCTTTAAGATTCTCAACAGAAATGAGAACATAATGAAGATATTATCTTTCCAGATGGTTATGGGAACAAAAATGTTATGTGTCTCTTATAGTTTTCCCTGCAGAACCCTATAAACTAAAGATGTTTATGTCCCACTTTCTCTGGGGCCTTTTCAATGCAGAGAGATTTATAAACCTGTGTGTATCAAGGCACTACTATTGGTATGGATCAGCCAATCTTTTGAGGTTTCTTTACTTTAAAAGGCTACTGCTCCAAGTATCATATATAATCACATTAGTAAAACAATCATATACAAATATATTATTTAAGGTATGGGGCTTATGGAAATCAGGTGAAGAAGACTATGTAGCCAAAAAGGTCCTTGGAAAGGATCTAATACAATACTCTCCTGTCATAAAAGGAGACCAAAGCACACGGCTTTAGAGATTCGCCCACTCATACAACATTCAACATTTAATGGTTGCTACCACATGCAAGTCACTGAACTAGGCAAAAAAGGATACAAAGATGAATGAGATTGGCCAGTCCCTCAAAAAGCTAACAACTCAAATATCAGTTCCCATCTGGTTCCTCCAAAATATACATATTCATTATACTACTCCTACACCTCCCTGGGTCTTCCATTCACCTTCTTTTACTTCCTGATGTTTCTGATTTCTCCACGGCCCCTCCCGCCGCCAACTCTACCTGCCCAGGTCAGTAAAGTCCCTCCTACAGTCTAACTGCTTTTCCTGCTGCCTTGGCTCCTGAGATCTCTGCAATCTGGAATTAGATGAGGCCACTGATGTCTGTCCCACACCACACTCTTGCCATTTAACACTTCCCATTGACTGTCCGCCTCAATGGGGCAAAACTATCCCTCTTGGTCTCTAACAATTTTTACATTTTAAAATTCTTAATGTTTATAAAAGTAATACCTGCTCCCTATAAAAATTCAAACAAAACAAAAGGATGGAAGGAAAAAGTGAGTCCCTTTAACACTTTCCAGAAGTAATCCCCATCCTTCTAGATCTTCTACGTATTTACAAACACACACGCGTTTGTTTCAATACAAGGCAAATCACAGTACACTGTCGTTTGATTTGTTTCACTTAACAATACATCTAGATAAACTTTATTGCTTTTGCAGGGTTCTCTAGTTTCCAGGACATCTCCCTTTGTAACTCTTCAGTTTTCATCCCTCCCAGGTTGGCCTGTTTCAAATAATTTTAAAAATAATTTCCCTGCCACTTTCAGTGTTTATCCAGGCATTTCCATATAGGTATACATACCAATTTCCACGAATAAAATAAAAGTCACTTAACACAAACCATAACAACTTTTTTCCCTGATTCAGAAGATACCATTATATGGCATAGGGCTTTGGAAACTCCCAGACTGTTGAACTTTCCTACTATTTGTGATCTGGATAAACTGGAGTTACTATGGCCAAGTCTAAAAGCATTCATACCCTCCTCAGAATTGTCTAGTAAATGAAATCAGTCATCTACGGTAACGTCTGTAAAAGACCCTATTGATGAGAAGCACAGAACCACAGAATGTTTCTCTTTTTAATGCACAAGTGGTCTGAGATGGCAACAGTTATTCACTGCACCAGAAAATTAATACTCGTTTATTCCCATTTTCCCCCAATTTTATGAAAAAGAGTATCTTAAAATGGGGCAACACAGAAGATCAAAATTTTGTCAACTTAACAACACACACAGTTTCTAACTCCAATTTATGTTTTCCTCACCTTTCCCTTCTCCTCAAAGTACCTAAGAATATATTAATAGTGCTGGCC